TTAGTTTCGAAACACTGCTTGCTGTAGCATTGCTACAGCATTGGCTGCTGGAATTTGTGTTTRGGTCTCACCTTAAGTCTTACACCCTTGCTTCCTTTATATATTCTGTATTCTGTTTCGGATAACCTTAAAATCAAAGAAAAGTCTTCAAAATCGTCATCTGAAATCATATCTTTCATTGGACTCTAATCTAACTTTGGCTACAATCTCTGTGGACGATAACTCGGTACTTGTACCACTTATTACTTGGAAAGACGACGTTGGGCCGGATTGTATACTTGCTTTATGGCCCAATTTCATTAAGTCCAGAGGTGTGAAATATAACCGACCACCCACCAGAGACGATTTTGATGGTTATTTTATGAAGAAAAAAAACTTTGTGACAAGTAGTCATTTTATTAATATACAATGTATAAAATGGTTATTTTGGGGTATATATATATATATATATATATATATATATATTTGAATTTCAATTAATGGGTGTGGATGAGATTTGGGTTTAATTGTTTTAGATTAGTGTTTGTCCGGAGTTGCATTGTTTTGCCCAAAAAGAGGACTAGTGGGAGGGGTGAGGTCGCCAGATTTGTGGGTGCTAAAAAAAGATAGGTATGCATGGCAACGGGATGGGGATGAGGCGAGTTTTGTAATTTCGATTCCGACTTCGGTTTGTAGTAACATCCTCCGTCCTCGGTCCAGATCTCCGGCGGGTATAGGAATTAACATCTCGTCCCCGGTCAAACCTCTATCAATCCTCGGTCAAAACCCATGAATAATATCTTTTAGTTTGATTCTATCATAGATTCCCGGCCCCAAGACCCGTTTTAGCGGGGAATCCCTGTCCCCGTTCGGGTTAGGTGAACCGGGTTTTCCACCGGATCAGGGTAAATCACCATCCCTGAAGATAAGGGGTGGATGTATTATTACAAAAAGAACAAAAAACAAACCTAACAAAGGGAAATAGAAAGAAAAAAAAAAGACAAAATAGTAAAAGAATTAAAATGTTACTGAGTTGACTAGTTTTGTAACAGAAATTCAGTTAGAAAGATCAAAATGTAACAAAGTAGCAACCATATCATAAAAAATGCAATTATTTCAAATAAAGATAAGAATTGGTAATAAGTCAATCCACAAGTACCAAAAGTGTAATTTAAAAGAGGTGTCATGTACTCTTTCCGTGGGCACCTACATCCAACACATTTGACTATAAACCACTTCTTGCATAAACTTTATTTTTGTTCTCTAAAATGTTACTAAAATGATACTTTTGTAATTTAGCGAGATACATCTTAATTTTTTTTTTATATTATGTCTATATTATAATATGATTTTTTGTGTTTTTAAGAAAACAATAATGATTTTATTTTTGAATAAAATATAAATTTAAAAACATCATAAAAATTTGAAAAAAAAATATCAATGCTAATATCAAATCAACTATTTAAAAGTTTTCATTTTTTATGTAATTTATTTATTTTATTATAATTTAATTTAAGTTTAGTAATGAGATATATCTTGATTTTAATATTTCATTAAAATGTTTTATAACATTTATTTATTTTTATGTAATTTATTTATTTTATTAAAATGCTAATATTTTATTTTTATGTAATTTACTTATTTTATTAAAATGTTTTATAACATAGTACTCGCACAATGCAATGAGATATATCTTGATTTTAATATTTCATTTTATTTCTTTATCTCAGTCGATGTTATACATGGTCTTATGTGTTTTTGAAAAAACGATAATGTTTTTATTTTTGAATAAAATATAAATTTAAAGATATCATAAAATTTTGACAAAAATATATCGATATTAGTATCAAATTAACTATTTAAAGCTCCTATTTTTTGTGTAATTTTTTAATTCAAATTTTTTATTATAATTTAATTTAGGTTCAATAATGAAGTAATTTATATTTTGTTTAAGAATATATATATTTTTAAAATAATAATTAATTATTTTGTTAGAACTCGATAATCATCCTAATTATATTTTAAATTTTTTATATTTTAAAATGAGATGTTTATCATATATTTAATTATGTTTATCCACAATTAGTTACACGAATTCAAACATGAAGTTTTAATAAGTTGTACTTATGCATAATTTACTTTTAAGGGGTGTTTGAGATTGTTTATTTAAAACAACTTATGTTTTTTTGTAAAAGTGTTTATTAACTTATGTGGTATCAAACATGAGTTAAATAAAACAATGTTAA